TGCGGCCAGAGCTGGTCGTAACCCGAAAAGTTCGTTAACAGAGGCGTTCGTAACCCGAGGTACCACTGTATATTTTGTTCTGATGTAAAGGTTTATATAATGTCATTAAAATGGGTGACCTGCCACTTACCTCCATTCCCAGAAGTTTTAGGGCTTTGGGCTGTTGGTAAAAAGAGAAAAGAATAATGCTATACATAACTTTTCAATAAAGCGCAGGGACTAACTAAAAACCTACCCTATTCATCAGTTATTTTTCTGATTCCACATGCACATTTTACAATTCTCTTGATATTATTAGTGTAACTGTTTTCACATTTTTCCATAACTGCTTTGGAAAAATGCACAAAGATTCCAAAGTTAGTTAAAGAAAAGTAAACTTTCCTTTAACAACTGAGAAGCATGTGGACTCTTATGTTTGACTACTTTGCTACATTTTTTCTGGCATCCAGCTTTATTCCAGCATTTTAAACTTTTATGCAAGAACTGCAGACATTGCCCCCTCAACCCCCAGAAAGGCCTGAAAGGATATTCTAAGTTTCCTACATGTTAGGAACTGAATGAGATGTCAGCAGCATCCTTTTTCACTTTGATTCAGACAGAGCAGTATCTTGCATCTAATGCTTAACCTCTTGCATCTCTTCAGCATTGTGGAGCTATAACAATGTTATAACAATGTTATAACAATGTTAAAGTTGTTGGATGCACATGTAATACATCTAATGTAAAGGATGAAGCTGTGTCAGCCCTTTCAGATAGCCCAGGGCAGGAAACAGACACCACAGGAACGACTATAACTCTCTTTATTGTTACAGGGCATAATAGCAGAATCTTGAAAGCCTTTCCTTTCCCTCCCTCTTACACCCAAGAGAATCAAGGTGGACCAACCTTGGGTTTATTTCTCACTCCCTCCTCCCATTCCTGAGAGTTTATTCCTCCCAGGCCTAAGCTGATGTTTTCACAATAGCTGCTACATATTTTCTTCAAGGCTGTTTCCATACTCCTCTACCGGCTATTTAATGAAAAGAGTAGAGGAAGCAGGGACAAGGAACAAGTTGAGGGGTTTCTTGACATGACACAAGAAGGAGGGAGGAGCTGAACTGGAATGTCAGATCAACCTACTTCACAGGGTTGTTGTTGTGGGGAAAAACACATAAGGAAGTGATATGTATGCTGCCTTGAGTTCCTGAATGAAAGGAAGGACATAAATCAATCAAGCAAAGGAATGGTTAGGAAAGAGATGTATTTTTGTTACAGGCCGTGTGTTTTTGGTATGTACTATAGGTTCAGAGTGAAACAGGGTGTGTAACAGAAATAAATAATCTAAGTGTGTATGTGATTGAGGCAGGGAGTGTAGGAGATGACTTTAAATTAGAAAAGGAATGAGCTTTGAGTAAGTGTATTCAAAGGAATGGATTTGTTCATGGAATGAGCTCAGAACACACCTTTTTCTTGTACTGAAGTAACTGGGTTAGCCCAGAAGCATTCTGTGACAGTGGCCATAACATTTTTTCAACATTCCAGATATATCCAAAGCCCAATAATGTCAGAGGCTCCTTTAAACCATCTAACCAACTCACTTTTGACCTGATCACCTCTCAAACCACCTCCTTAAATCTACTTTTTTATGAAATAGTTTTCAAAAACTCAGTAATAACAATCCTTACTCTCTTGGGGCCAAATAAGTTGTGGTAGAGTGTTCGGAAGCGTTTTCGAGTATAATTACAGCGGTAAGCTCCTCCCATCAGGTACTCAATCACCAGGCCAATATCAATTAGACTTATCCTATAATCTGGTGGTAGGTTTCCCTATTTTTTCCCAATAGAATAAAAGACACACAAAACAAGGGAAGGGGGGAAAGATACAACTGATTATTATGTCTATTGTGTGCATTTTTCTGTAACTATGAGAGTTTTAAATGAAACAATAAGAAAACATATTATGATGCTTATTAATTAATTCACCTTAAAATAGATCCAACCGAAACCTGGATATTCACGCTTGGAAAAAAGACATAAATTAAGTAAGAAAATGTGTTAAAAGATAGCAGTAACAGAAGATAATAAGTTTCAGGACACAGGATTTAGGCTATTCTGAGAAGAAAAACAGGATACACTACTGCAGAACAAGGAAAGCATGAAGGCAAAGCATTTTATAGAAAACTCTATGTATTTGCTGGATGCTGGGGATGTCCTGAATCAGTCACACAACAGTCTTATCTCCTGAGGAATATGTGTATGCCCTGGCAAACTTCTTGGGGTTGTGTGTCTCCCTGCTTCTATCATGCCACTAAGAATGTCTTTTCCAAACTTAATCCTGGAACAGGAAGGCAACTTTAGCATAAACAGATGCTGAATGCTTTAAACACAAGTTTTTCTCTTTTACTGAATAGTGTACTTAGCAGATTACATAACCAAGTCCCACAAATTTTCGTCCTACGGTTCTCTAATTAAAACTTTCACTTTTGTTTCCTAAAAAACCAAAAACACCTTCATACACATGGCTGGCAATGAAAAAGTAAAAAATGCTTATATTTTTCTAAAGATGCTAACTCTCTAGGAATTAAAATCCTTTCACTTGAAGTTTTGGTTATTGATTTTCTTTGCTATGTGGTCATTCATCTGCCAAGGAGGAAGTATATTCAGAAGGCTGTAATGACAATGGAATAATATCTGACATTTAGGAAAGGGGGGGGGGATTTATTTTCACTTTTTAGAGACAAATCTATATGACAGTGAATTTCTCCCCAGACTCTTATTGGAGATTAAAACGTGTTCTCATTTAAATAGCAGTTGATTTAAATTATATTTAATTATTTTCATACACCATCTATCTTAGTGCCAAAATCCATCTGTTACCTCATCACATAGCACTGAGTGGGCCAAATAATGAATTTACCTCATAAGCCATTTCTGAGATCTCGCTCCACTGACTTTCAACTCTCCTAATATCAAAAAGGACATGTTTCTATGTTATTACTGTAATGCAAAAACAGTTTACAACTCCCCCCGCCCAATGTATAGAAAGTATAGGCCCATTGCTGTATATACAAAATCTCGCACTTGCTTATTTGTCCTCTCTAAAATAAATATATTGCCTTAAGAGGGATACTATAGCTGATGTACCCCAGGCTTTATATGCCTAATAAATAAAGACAAAATATCATTTTGAGACTATTGCTGTAATCATGCATATATTACCTGTCTTGGATTTACATAATGAGGTAATATTAATTTTAGGCAACTCTCAGGACTGTATCTCACATTAAATTTTATATCAGTTACCTAGTGGTTCTAAGGAAGTGTGCATGATTCAGATTAATAAAATCTGGTGTATCACCAATTAAAATGAACATAAAACAAAGTTCTTGATTCCAAATATTTTAAATGGTTACACAGACTATTGGTATTTTTACTAAACTTTATTCTATTCAGGTACTAATATGCTAGCACAAGGTACAAACTGAGAACCATCCTTCAGATATTTTCTAGGTTAGAAGGTATCCAAACCAATTCTAATAATGTCTGAATATCCAATAAAAGTGAAATGTTTCTATTGCACTGACAGCCAGTAATGACATTTTGACTGAGACTGTAAGGCTTGTTAAACTCTATTTTTATTTTTTTAAAAAACCCAAGAATAGTTCCTTCTTGTAAAACCTTTTAAAGTACTGCTTGATTATGCTGATTCTAATAAGATTTCATTAGCTAAGAACACTTATTTAAAAAGCAATTTCTACTGAAATCACTCTCTTTCTAAATTGAAATGCTTAGGACTCAGGAATAAATTGTTAGAAATGAAGAAAATGACACCTGTTCTACAGATGCTAAATTTTAAGCATAATCATAATGCATAGATACAGCCTACTTGTCATGAATTAATCAGAAAGGTATCTTCCTAAACACGTACATAGTAAGAGAGAGAGAGAGAGGAAAAAAAGGGTAGAAATGTTTACCATATGAACATTAGAGGGCACTCTTTAGCCATCAAAGCTCCCAACATAGTTTCCTTTTCTTATTTGAGTAATCATTAAACATCAAATTTGGCAAAAAATAGTCATTGTAGGTCAGACACTTTCCTTACTAATGACTTGAGGGCACTGATATTCAAACAGAAGAAAAATGGCCTTTATTAACTAAATAAGAGGTCAAAAGGCTATATTGTTATTCTTTCTCATAAACTCAGTATAGAATGCATCATTTAGAACTGGAATTCAAGAGTTATCCAGGATCGTTCATTTCATTTTATCATTTTTAAAGTCCTTTAATGTAAGAAGAAGTGTGAAATTTTGCCAGGGCTAATCTTCCCTTTCCTTGTATGCAAGTGACTTTAGGTTATTTTTATGGTTACTTGAATGGTATTCTCTCTTCACCCTCTATAATTAGAGAGCAGTGATTTTCCTTAAAATAATTGGGACAAAGACTATCCCCAATATTAGGTTCTGCTCACACTGCACTTTTATAGTGTTGAGAAAAACTGGGTTTTGTTATTTAAAAAAATCCATTATGATTGTTAAATACCCACAAATATACACACACACACACACACACATATTTGGAGTTTTTTTAATGCAAGTTTATATGGGGTCACATTTTGCTTTATATTTAGCTGTTTAATTTTCAGTTATCACAAGATGCCAGGAATCTACATACTGAAATTATTTTTCAGTCTTAACATTTAACTGCTCTTCAGCAGAATAAAGTGAATATAATTTATTTCTGTAAGTAATGTTTCAAGGTGATTCATTTTAACAAATATATATTTGATCCCAAGGGGTTTAGCTACCAGAATTCAAAATTCATCAGAATGAGATAAGTTGCTTTAGACAGTCATCTGTCTCTGTCATGCACCGGGAACCATTGGACTGTCAAAATAACATGTTGCATTAAGAGGTTATTTTCTAGAATGCCATTTCATTTAAATAGATGTCAGATTTGTTGATAGATTCAGAAACTGACTGAAGAGAATGTTATTGCCCAGGTATGAGTCTGCAGTAACCATCTAATACCTTGTAGCATAACATTTTACTTCTTCATTATTTATAAAGTGAGGGAAAAAATCGCTCTATAATGCAACAGATTTCATGTTGAGGTCAACAGAGTGGACTGTATTAATTCATTAAGAAAATGAATATAGTTCTGTAATCTTTGTCAGGGTTTATTCTACCATTTGAATATACATATAAAACACATATTTTTTTAAAAAAAAATCTATCTCCTGGCATATTTTTAAATGTTCTTCCATTCTATTTGATAAAAAAATGCACTATAATTTAATTTCACTGCAGTTGATTTATTAGCCAACAGCGTAATTAAGGAGTAGATATTAAAAAATGGGGAAGGGGTGTTCTTAAAAAAAGAGGGTGATACAGAAAGTGACATTTCCAAAATAGCCAATGGCACAAAAATGACTATTCATACAAAAACTACTTCTAGTAACTAATAAAGAAAGAACAGGGAACCAGAAAGCGCAAACTGATCCCTGATTTTGATTTAGCCAGTATTGTACTGAATATTCATGGGATTTTTTTGTTGTTGTGAACAACTCTATTATAGAAAAACTGTTACACATTTTGGTCTGGTTCTCCAAAATGAGTCATTACCTCACAGATGAAGTAATAAATGTAAAATAAGTTCTCAAAAGTTTTTTCCCTCCAACTATATTCAAACATTTCCATTTTTTCCCAAACCTCTGAGTTACTTCTGTTTTTAAATTCTTTAGATATTTTGCTGGAAACTCTGTGTCTGTGGATTTTTATTTTTTTTTTTACAAAAGTTGAAGGGCAGCCCATTTTAAATCTATATTTTCCTCATTCTGTTGTTCAGTTTTATGTTTTAAGGCAAAAGTACCTTAAAACTGAAATCTAGAAATATGTGAATTTATGGCTGATGGTCTCTGGATTTTATGTATGTATTTCAAGTTCCAGATGATTACAAGACAGTGATAAAGTACATAGGTAGGCATTAGATATCAAGTTCCCCTGTTTTAGCAGCTCTTCCCCCCCCCCAATTTCTAAATAATCAGTTTATAGCTTTGTCAGGGAAAAGAAACTTGGGGGGGGGGTGAGTTTTTATTTAGCTAGCGTTATGCTCTGGTTCTTCCAACAATTACCATTATGGGGAGATGGGGGCAAACAGAGATAAGACTTTCTTACAGCTCCTCTGTTGGGGTTTAAACTATATAATTGTATCTCCAGTGCAGGAGATCAGCACCCAACATACAAGCATGAAGAAGCTGTAAGAATTGCAACAAAACGTGTAGGGCCAACAAGTTCATTCTCACTCCCCTCTTCATTTGATGCTAATTGTGCAAGAGAACGGATGTGACTGAAAAGGGTCCAAGACATACATTACTGATAAACATTGTTTTTAGAAAAAGCATAGCCTGTTTCCACCAGTTACTTTAAGATAACTTCAGTCACACAAACTGAGTTATATCTAAACTGATTTTTTAAAACTTTCTACTTAAAAAAGGACATAAGGGGTTTTTATAAAAAATAGCACTTAATGAAGCTGAAAATAATGCAATGATTCAAGATCCAGCACAACAATAATATATATTGCAATGTCCAACACTGGCCCACAATATGGAAATCAGCATTCAAAACAGTGGTGGCTATTAAAATACATCTATTGCATAAATCCACATCACATGAAAAACACCTACAGTCCACTAGCAGAAGCACTATACCTAAAGCATCTAAAATAACTAGCAGCCACTAAATAGTTAACTGTATTGTACACAAAGGCTGAGAATTATTACAAACACACACTGAACAAACTGAAATGGCAGAAGGTGGAAGAAAGCTTTTGTTGGTAGCCCATGCAAAACAGAGGCTGTCTCTAATGACAAGAAGCAGCCACAACATTACCTTCACGCTACTGTCCACCTGTGGACTCTTACCTTTTTGACATCTCTGACAAGATGATACAAAGTGTTGGAGGGCCCATGTCTCTGAAAATGATCACAACAAACAGTTTAATAGTTCTGACGTGTCTGAAGACGCTGTTTGGATCAAAGGACAGATGTGTCAAAGAGTCTAACTCATAAAACTCAAATTACTGAATGCGACAACTGTATAGTTTTTTTTAATATCTAACAAAAAACTTGAATATTCTTTAATTTGTCTTAGAATTCCATGTTTAATTTGGAGTAATGAAATCAGTATGAACACTGCACTCTACCTTCCGAGATCAAGATTCAAGGAAGCTACCATTTAAACTTTTTTTTTGAAAAAGTTCTACAACTAAACTAATTGTGCATTTTTGTGGCATTTAGTATTTGATTTCATTCAAAGTACTAGAGATTGCTCATGCAAACATATCTTTCCAAGTGTATCATTTTGTATACAGATAGCTTAACCAGGAATTGAATAGGTACCTAAACTTTTAACTCCAAAATTCAGAACTAAACATTTGCAATAAAATGCCCTTGTCCAGAAAACACCATGCCATTGTGACTTGAAGTGAAGCATTAAGAAACCAGACTCTTTTTCAGTATAGGTCCCCATGATGGTGATGACTATCTCCTTCCATATAAAAAGACATGTTTGCAGTATACTGCTGGAAGATGTTCCACAACTAATTTTTGAAAGATGCTCCATGAATAATGGTCTTTTTGGGTGGGGATAGAAATAGAGTTAATGTAGATCAAAAGGGACTAAGCTGTAGTTCTTCAAGCATTTACTACTAGATGAAAAGTTTCGAGTCATGGAGAAATAGTACTGGTAGTCCTTCCCTATATCATGACACACAAGTATCATATCTTATGTAATGCCTTATATAGAGATCACCAAATCATGCAATTATTGATCTTTTAAAAGGAGTTCAATGTTGGAGATTGGTAAGAGATCAGAGGCAGGAAACAAGTAAAGTGACCTCTGTAGAGAGTTTGCATAATCACCTTATGTGTGTGATAAAACAGTTCTTGATATTACACCACCCAGGCAGCCTGAGATAGACTTAAGATTACCATTATTATTCTTTGCTATTATCAAATGAAAAGTAGGCAGAAATTCAATAAGCAGCATTACCTTTTTCACTGTAAGAGAAAAAGGGCTGTCTATTTAATTTTTGCTCATCTTTGTAGTGAAACACATGAGTTACAACCTGGCGGTACGTGGAAGATTGATTATTTTGACAAAGCAGCTGGTGTTCCCTGAGAAATAACAGGAACTAAATAGAACACTTTAACTTTGAAATGGTCTGCTTTAGCCTAGCCAATTCAGTGGTGGTTTGAAAATGGCATTTTTTTTAAAAAAAGCAATTCATCTTTGGAGCAAATTATTTTTAACAGAATAGGGTACAGATGCAGTGTTGTTGTTTTTTAAAGCATGTTATATAGTTTTAATAGCATATAATAGAAGACTAAGCAGGTAAAGCATATGAGATTTTATTACAAGAACACTTTAAGGCAAGCATTATTTCATGAATGGAGAGATTGGATGAATTTCTGGGCACCATGCTAAGGCTTGAAGGGAATTAAATGAACAAATAGGGGCCCTACCGTATTGTACAGCTCCTCTAGTCTGGAGATGGTGAGAAAACGATGCATGCTTACTCCATTCTCTATGAGTAACTTCACAAAATCCACTCTGTCTAATACCAGGGCATCCAACATTGCTTGTTCAAGGGAACCCACCTAAAAAGGAAATAATCTAGTCAGGGAGACCTTGTGATCAGTGGGGAAAAATCATACAAATGAAAAGGATTGTGGAAACATTTCACATTTTTTCCTAGCATTTTAAAAGTGGGTTCCAGCATAGCATTACTTTTCAATACAATTTTGGGATGATGTAAGCTGTTTTTTTACTTCTATCCTCTTGGTGCAGAGATCTCCTGGAGAGCCTCAGTGTCAGCTTTAGTTTTTACCAGTCTGAATAAATGGTGTCACCCACATATTTCACTATTTTATGCTTATTCCTACCTTATAATAATCCTTATAAATATAAATTAAACATCACTGATCCCAGTACAAAATATTGATGGACTCCTGAAACTTGCGTTTCTCCACTGAAAGAATTGTTCAATGCCCTCCATTTATTGTTCTTCAATTTTATCAGTTGTGAGAGGAATCATTCTTTTGGTTAGACTGTGTGGAAGGCTTTTTGAAATTCAAGTATGTAAGATTTACCATGGACGTTATCAAAACTTCTCAAGAGTTAGAACATTTCATTCTGGAAGTCATGCTGTTATCTACAATACTTGTTTGTCTGTGACCCTGTTCAGGATTCACCATAGCATGTTCAATCAAACATGGAAGAAGCAGTTAAGAGCACTTCCCCTTTCCTAGTTGTGTTGGTGACATAAGTGAAATTATGGTCTCCACGTTACAATATGATTGTCTGTGACCGGGAGCCTTCATATGCAAGAACAATGCTTCTACTTGGGCAACTCTGAATTATTATCTGAATTCCATCTTGTGTGGAAATGATCACATGTCGAGCTAGGCTTCCTACTGAAGGCAATTGCTCTCTTCCCCCTACTAATCCTCCTCCAGGTTCATCTATCTCAACCCATTCAACAACTTTCCGCCAATTTCCCTATTCCGGAATCATTTTATTTCCCTTTGCATAACACTCAGAAATTATACTTGTCCCTCCCAAATTTCAACTTTATCTCTCTTACACAGAAGCTGAGCTGAAAATTGTTGAATTCTCTGAATAACTGAAGATTCTGTGTCTATATCTAAATCATATCTCTATGGCAGTGGCCCTCATTAACTGCAGTTACATTACTTGTAGTTTTGTATATCTATGGCATCTTTATACATGTGCAAAATGGCAGGTGTGCAAAATAGTTTTTTTCAACTTCAGTATTGGAAGTTTTGTTATCTGCAGTTGCTGAACTGGAACAGAGCCTCTATGAACAATGAGGGCCACCTATATATTTTGAGGGAGAGCAAAAGTTCATAATATGATATTCCAGGCATCTCAGGAGGCAGACTATGGTGTATGAAAGCTTAAGCTACAATAAATGTATTTGTCCTTAAATAGATTTTTTTTCCTCACAAAAGATAAAACAATTGGTTATGTTATACAGCTCCACTAGGTGACACCATTTCCTACAAGAAAAATTACAGACATCTTTTTCATGATTACGTGACAATCTGTTTATGTTCCAGAACTGACTGACTGACTGACTGACTGACTGACTGACTGACTGACTGTCTGTCTGTCTGTCTGTCTATCTATCTATCCATCCATCCATCCATCCATCCATCATCAGAATAATCACACTCAACTGAAAAGGTATTTAATAGTGTATAGATACTGTACCGGCCACTGTTGCCCATAAATAAAAATCTGGCTGCGAGCAATGTCTACCCTGTTCCAAGCTAATGCTAGACTCAGTTGATCTGGAGCAGAGGCATTCGCTCCTGTAGAAATTGAGAATAAGAACACTTAATTAATTCAACACAGTCAGTGGTAAAACAGATTCTCATGAGAAATGGGAAGAAAGTAGACACGTAGTCCAAATGATTGGTATTACAATAATCTTTATATGATTTTCTTGCTGAAGTTAGCAAT